GGGGAAAGGGCAGGGTGGCCATCCCGAAGTGATGGGAGATCCGGGGCAGGTCTGGCCTTTCCAATGTGCTGTCTTCATTTACCATTTCTACGAAGCTGGCTGGTGACGTGCAAGACTCAGGAACTGACACCATCTCTATCTCCCAGGCTCAGAGGGTACACACTGCTATCAGTTGCTTTTAATAACCTTAAAGAGACCCCGGCCATATCTGGTTGGAAATAGCCATGTCTGCCGGTGAAGTCAGCGACCATAGTAGTCAGCTACTGTCTTCTCCTGCACCACTGGGATCCCCGATTTCCTGCCTTTCCTATGCATGGCTTCCCTTCGCTGAGTCCAAATCAGCCCTTTCCCTGTTTCTTTCTTTTCTTTTTTCCTTTTTTTTTCAGAACCGAGGATTGAACGCAGGCCTCACACTTGCCAGGCAAGCATGTACTCTACTGAGCCATCTCCCCAGCCCACCTTTCCCTGTTTCTTTTTTTATTTTATTTTATTTTTTTCCCCTGTTTCTTTTGCGGAACTCTGTTGCTTCTTGTGGAGCTATCATACTGAGCTTTCTTTTTAAATAAAACTTTCTGGAAATATCTCAGTTTGGGGATCTTTGTTTTCAGGTTAAAAGGAAAGAATTGTGGTTGCTTGTCTCATTTAAATTGTGTAAAGAATATACTTCCAATTCCAGTGACAAGAACAGGATTACCCAAGTTATAGCCATTCGCACGTTCACTAGCTGCGATAGTCCTCTGTATTTTATATCCACTTGTCTCACACCACACGACTTTTACCTTAAGCAGTATTTGGGAAACTATGACTTTGATGCGGTAGTTGTTTCAAAAACAGTATTATAGGGGACGGGGAGATGGCTCAGTGGAATAAGCGCTTCCCTGGCAAGCACAAGGGCCTGAGTTCAATCCCCGGTTCTGAAAAAAACAAAACAAAACAAAACAAACAAAAAAAAACCAAAAAACAAAAACAACAACAACAAAAAAAAAACAACAAAACAAAACCCAAACAGTATTATAGGCCGGCCAGATAGCTCAGCAGACTAAAGCGCCTGCTTAGGCAGATGCAGGGACTGGGGTTCCATCCCCCGTCCTGCCGTGCCAATCCCACCTCTGGTGCGCGTTGAGACAGCGATTGAGACTGGGTGTGGTGGTGTGCGCCTATAATCCCAGCACTTGGGAGGCTAAAAACAGGAGGATCATGCGAGTCTGAGCTGTGTGGTGAGACCCTGTACTAAAAACAAAGAAATGCAACCAACCAAACAAAAATATTATACATTAAAATATAAATGTTAATAAGCTCTATTTCTGTATCTACTATATGAAATTATTTTCTGTGTTACTATGAGTAGCTCCCACTTTGTGAAACATTTATCTAGGGTGTAGTTTTTGTAAGAGATTTCCATAGATAATTTTATAGAAACACACTACTGTTTCTACTTAGCCAAAGAGGAAGGCTTACAATGGTCTAATCTCAATAACTTTTCTTAAAATTTTTTTTTAAATTTATTTATGTGTGTGTGCGTGTGTGTGTGTGTGTGTGTGTGTGTGGTCAGCTCAGCCCACCAGGGGGCGGGGCTGGCTGGCATGTGGTGCTGGGGGATTGAACCACAGTCCCTGTGCTTTGCTTAGCTTAGCTTGTTCTAAGTAGGTGCTTTAGACCACTGAGCCATCTCACCAGCCCTCAATAACTTTTGGAGATTAAAGACTTCAGCATATTTTAGAACAAGGTAAAACAGTTCACTGTGTAAAGGTTGAACAGAGAAAAAAAAACAGGAAGAAAAATATAATTATTAAATACAACATATTTTTTTTAAGCCACTTGAGTTCTAATTACGGTTGGCTAGCCATTCCATCTCAAATGATCACACCTGAGCGTGTGTGTGTGTGTGTGTGTGTGTGTGAGAGAGAGAGAGAGAGTGAAAGAGAGAGAGAGAGAGAGAGAGAGAGAGAGAGAATGAATGAATGAATGAATGAATGAATGAATGAATGAATGAATGCCATTTTCCATTTGGTTCAAATACACCAATGTTACCCATCTTCCCCACCCGCCTCCAAATTCTCCACCTAGTTCAGCTGTGATGCACAGAATTCCAATGAAGCATCGCACTACCCAGGTCAGATTCAAAGAGGAAACATACCTTGGAAGGCCCTGCTTCTGTAAACAGACTTACTAAGCAAAGCATCCTGCTTACAGGAGGTACAAATTGACAAAACAATGCAGCAAATCAGAACTCTCCAGTAGGGGCGTCGGAGCAACTGATTCCCCTGCCGAGAAGATTTTCTATAAAGGTTTTTGCTACGGAGAGTTTAAGACTTAGGAAGAGCAGTCCTCAAACAGTTTGTGTTCTGATGCCATTTTCAAGCCAATACCTTGAAGACAAATCCAGTCTTCTCTGCCCTAGCCCAAGTTTTCTAGCCTTCCGCTCTCGAAAGAGCAGATTCCTTGTCAGCGAATTCCTTTTCTGGGTGTGATAGTGAGGTCTGAGTGTCCGTAGCAGGCTCCTGTGTCTCAGAGCCAAGAGCTACAGAAGTCCCCCGGCTCTTCGGCTCTTCGCAAAAGGCAGGTCATGCTAGGGGAGTGCTAGAAGTTGACCTTAGGCTACTTACTACTCGGCTTTCTGATCCGAGAGGGAACACCCTCCTCATAGCACGTGACCATTTCAAACCACTCACAGCGCATGTCTAAATTCCATGTTCTATCTCAGCAACTCACAAGTGGAAATCAGTCAAGTATGCCAAGGAGCATTGGAAATCCGTATGGGATGCAGAAATAGAGCACTCTGGAAGGGATCTTGGAAACCACACGGTTCAAGTCTCTCCTTATTCAGTAGAGGATTCTCCAGGTCATAGGATCAGTGGGTCAGAGTAAGCACTATAAATTTGGAGACAAACAGTCTCCTTTCTTGAATGCAGTGTGTCCAAAGCTCCTTTCTTCTCTGCCTGTGGTAACCCGGCAGCCCATTCATCCCCTTGCACAGGTGTTGCAGAGACCTGCATCCTTAAACCCAGCCTCTGAAGATCAGGCAACAGGAGACAAGGTAAAGGCTGCTCAGCAGCCAAGGCCAGAGCTCCTCCAAGTGCACGGCCTGCTGTGTCTCGGGAGTTGCAGTGCCTCGAAAGCTGACTAATGAGAGAGGAAGTGAGGCGGACCCTTGGGGCCCGCTGCACCACTGAACAGGTGGTGGCAACGGCCAAAACAACAAGAGAAACTCCCCAACCTGGACCGCCCGAGCCCTTGCTGTCTGAGCCTGCCCTGCCCACAGCCATGGGCTGGAGAACTGCAGCAGCCCTCTCCTGAACCCAGCTCTAAGGCTGATCCCTAGGGAAAAGATAACCCGATGTGGTACTGACTCTCCCCACAGCATGACCCGCATTTCTAGGCTCTCCCTTCAGCCAAGCACAGGAGAGGGGAGCGAGCTCACCTGTCAGCGTCGCCAAGGCCCAGGGAGGTGTTTCGCTGCAGGGTCTCACGCACCACGGCCATCCCGTCCGGGAGCCGGTTCAGGCGACGCGTGTAGAGGCCGAGTCCCCCGTCGGTCATGTACCTGTGAGAGGAGGAGTTGGTGAGAAGGTGCGTGGGCAGGAGCAGCTGCACACAGCCCTGTCCCTCGCATCCGGCAGCGCTGGACTGGCATCTTGGGCATCTAGAGGGAAGGAACCAAAGGTTCCCCAGGCTCTGCCTCTAATCTTAATCCCAGGAAAAAACCAGCGCTGCCCCAGGACCACCAGATTGCTGCAGGACTATAAACCAGAACAACTCAGCCTAAGTAACCCCAGCTCTAGAGAATCTATGCAGCAGAAGAAAGCTAGTGAATAAAATTCACCGTCAGATGTTTCCATGACATATTTTTTAATGTCAACAGTTGTATAAGCAGGTGTTTTACCTAAGTAATAACAAATGGAACCAACCAAGTCATTCACAAAGCAGAACTTCTTACACAAGAGTGCATCCGAGGAAGAAAGGAGAACTTGAGAGGAAAGAGAAAGGAAAGATCAAGGCTGGAGAAGACTCATTTACCATTCAATGCTGGGATTATGGGTGTGAGTGTCACACCCTCCCTATAATATAAGGGAGGGAAGGAGAGGCTTGTTCACTCTTTTATTTATTTGTTTGCCTGCTCAGCCCACCCTGAGGGCAGATTGGCTCAGCATGTGGTGCTGGGGCTTGAACCTTGGTCTCCTGCACCTGCCTAAGCTTGCCTAACAGGCGCCTTAGACTGCTGAGCTATCTCACCAGCCCCCACTTGTTCACTCTTGTTCCTCCCTTTTTGCTCTTGTTGCTTTGCTGTTTTACACCACCATGAACTGCTGCCCTCTGCCATGTGCCGCTCTGCCTTTGAACCAGCTGATTATGGACTGAAACCTCCACAAACCATGAGTTTATAACCCTTTCCTCCCTTCATTTTTTAAAAAATTTTATTTATGTGTGTGTGTGTGTGTGTGTGTGTGTGTGGCCAGCTCAGCCCACCAGGGGGCAGAGCTGGCTGGCATGTGGTGCTGGGGAATTGAACCACGGTCCCTGTGCTTTGCTAAGCTTGTTCTAAGTAGGTGCTTTAGACCACTGAGCCATCTCACCAGCCCCCTCCCTTCATTTTGGGTATCAGATATTTTGGCCCAGCAAGGAGAGAACAGTAACCAAGACACTAAGGATCTGTTCCTGGAGAAGCACAATGCTGAGAGGTTGGGGTTGCGGGTGCCAGCAGGGATGGTGGGGAGAAAGCCTCACAGGGCCACAGAGTGGGCAGGCAGCTCCAGGGAACTCTCCCCAGGGCTGCTTCCAGGAGCTGGAGTCTCAGCTGAATGTCCCTGTGTCCCTCTCTCCTGCCTTTCTGGCATTAGTGCTCCTGGATGATGCAATGCCCACATAAAGAAAACTTAGCTGTGCCGACAAAACAGTAGGGCAGGCTAAGTTTTTCACTCACGGGCACCACGTTAAAACAAAAAATCACTCTATCCTAAAACTACTGAATTATACACTTTATCATTAGTATTGATATTATCACCATCACTATCATTATTAATGGCAGAATTGAGCGGCGACCCCAAGGCCTTCACATGCAGCTAGAGCCCCAAGCTGTTTAAAATTTATTATTTTGAGACGGGTCTCACCTGCTAAGTCACCCAGGCTGGGCTCAACCTGACACCCTTCTGTCTCAGCCTCCCAGAGTGCGGGGATTACAACAGGCATGTATCACCCCGCTAAGCTTAATTTACACATTTTAAAATGGTGAGTTTTATAGTATGCAAATTATATCGTAATAAAAAGTAACAAAAATGCTGATTATCACTCCAGTTAAGTAATTATCTGTATAACTGCATTTTAAAGCCCCTCTCTCAGCTCCTGGAAAGCAGGGGTGTCCTCCAAGCCTACATCCCACATGCACAGCTCGTTCTAAGTACTTATTTGTTTAAGTGGGGCAAATGTACACGCCCATGAGCGAGACCCAAACCTCAGCCCCTACAGGGCAAGGTTGGCAAAAGCCTTCTGCAAGGACAGTGATTACAGTGTTTTCTCCCCTCTTAACTGTTGCCAAGCTTGACAAGCGAGACACACAGCAACTCCAGAGCTTGACGGTGCACACCTATAATCCCAGCACCTAAGAGGCTGAGGCAGGAGGATTGCCCTGAGTTTGAGGCCTGTCTGGATACAGAATGAACTCAAGGCTGGTGAACCACAGAGAGTGGCCCTGTCTCCCTTGAGACACACAGCGAGGCAAGCCCGACACTGCATCGACCACGCACTTATCTTCCCTTCTGTCCATCAAGCCATCCTCCTGTCAACAGATGTAGTGGCTCATGGGTGTGGCCACAGCTGCCGCATCCCACGGCCAGAACAGAGGAAACCAGCACAAAACAGAAACTCCCCACCACAGCGCAGCACCTCTGCCAGAGGTTGGGCTCTTGATATCAAACGTCCTTTCAAGAAGAATACAAGTGCTTCAGGGCAAGGTCTGCAGAGCCAGGTGGATAAACACAATTTTTTCAACTGGGGAGATCTTGTCAAAGGACAAACAAACTAATTCATTTCCCCACTGGATTTTTATTGCTGGGGAAACAGCACATACGGTGGGGCAATTACACACACCTGGGCACTGGAACGTCTTCGAAGACCGCCCCAGCTCCCTGCTAAGGCCGGGGGAGAGTCTGGGGCTCCCTGCTAAGGCCGGGGGAGAGTCTGGGGTTTCGGAGCTGGGGTGCGAGGCATGCCCTTGGCCCAGCAACACGCAGGGGCAACGCGAGGTCCCTGAAAAGTGACCACCAGTGGAGGCGGGAGGCCCGAGGTGGACCCTGATCTGCTGCCGGGAATTCTGAGTGTAGCAGATAGGAGGGATGCGGAGGAGAGGCCAGGGTCTCCGGCCTTCTGAATGCACACCAGGAGCCGAGGGCAAGGGCTCCATGCCTCCACTCTGACAATGACCCAACCCCAGCTGGAAGAAAATTTCTTCAATGGTGTGGAGAGGGAGAAAGGAAAAGCGAAGCAGGGGGGCCAGGAAAGTAAGGAATTCACCTTCCACCCAGATATTTATAAAAATGCGTACACTAACACGCACATTTTAATTTTTTATTGCTTTGGAATGAAGGTCTTCAGTAGTTCAGGTGCCGGGCTGGCTGCAAACGTGTGGCAATCCTCCTACCCAGCCTCCTGAGCCGTGGGATCCTAGCTGTTACTACCATTCAGGCAACCATGTTTTTAACAATATCCTTTATGATCAATCCTGTGCATCGCTTCCAGCCAGATAGCCCAAAACTGGAGACACTGGTCAGTAGATCCTGACTCAGTTTCAAGCATCCTATTTGAAATATTTAATTATGTCTAAATTAGTATCCACCAATGACAACAGTTGCAAAGTTCAGTTTCTATTTTTAAGTAACTCTTCAACTCTTGGTGGAAAGTAGGTTTGGTTGGACCTAAATGTGGACTGGGTTTGGCCACTGAACCACTGGCAGAGACTGTCCGGCAAAGCTAATCCCTGAAGAAAGGGAAGTTTCAGAAGCAGCAGTTGGGCTCTGGCCCTGGAGACTCACATGGGGCAGACAAGAAAGCACTTGCCCTGAAGTCCCAGCAACAGAGCGCCAGCACCACACTTTCTTTCTCCTTAGGGAGATAAACAATTAGTGCTGGTGCCTAAGGAGGCCCCAGCAGCATCCTAAGGTTTGCTGAGCTGGTTCCTGCTGAGCTGCCAAGCCCGGAACACGTGTTACCCCCGAGTTCTACTGGGATGGGTGATGGAGACCCTGCTTCCTTCTCCTGTGACCCCTGGCACAGATAGAACAGGAGCCTTTGCTCTGCTAAAGGGACCAGGGGTGGCCCTGGGGCATGAAAGTGAGAAAGGTGACATGGTAGAGGAGGTGTAGGTCGAAATCTGCATGCTGCCCCTTGCTGACTGGAGGCCCACACGACATACACTGTGTTTACGAGAGCCAGCCATCTCGACCGCCTGCTGGTACCGTGCAGAGAGCTCACAACTTCCAGGCTCTGAAAGCCTATTCCTGGGCTGGGATGCAGCTCTGTGTCAGTAGCTGCCTAGTATGCACTAGGCCTAGAGTTTGGTCCCCAGCACAGGAAGTGAGTGGATTATCCTGTCCTCGCTCAGGGGAGCAAAAAGAAGCTCAGTGCAGGAAGGGGGCTCAGATCCCACCCTGGTCATGTCTGAGTGCAATTTCTGCAAGGTTCAGTTTCCTCATCTGTAAGTAGGAGGTTAAATGAGACCATGTGTGTGAACAGAGCCCGGCATCTAGCCCATGGGGAGCGCTTCATAACCATCAGCTGTTGGTTGACACCACCACCACTGCAAAGGACAGTGACACAGGACCCCCTTCCCAATGCTACAAATACTGGGCACTAGTTCTGTGCCAGGCTGGGGTCGAGGGATGAAAGACTTGTCCCTGCCCCACCAGAGCTCAAAATCTATGAGGGACTAAGCCACGTAAGTAACTGCTGCTCCATGCACGGTGTGTAGGAGATGAATATATGACGGGCTCTGAGGACGCACGCGGCAGGTGTCACAGATAAGGGCTGTGTAAGCCAGTCCAGAAGTGGCACTGGAGTTCGCCAGTCAAAGCAGCGCATGATATCTAGAAGACGGGGAATACAGACAAGATCTGGGCTGCACGGGCCGGACACCATCAGGATGCCAGGTGGGCTGATGCCTTGCTTACAATATGCCAGGAGATTCGAAGGGTGCTAGGCCTCAACAACAGGCTCCAGCCTCTGTGGCAAATAGCACAGTGGCTCTTCCATGCACCCACCACTCTGTGCTCACTCCTGGAGAACTTGTTCTCCGTGATACTTCTTTCTAAGGATTTTCCAGAACACACCGCTTGGATTCTGGCTGAGTCATCGCAGACCTCTGGGGAACGACTAGACCTGTAGGGTAACTCACCACCCTCTAGCCAAGACAGACTTATGAAGCCAACAGGCCTGTTATGAAGAACTTTTGACCAAAAGACACAGAACTGACACTAGCTATGAAACAGCTTTGGAATCCAATAGGACCTGTCAGAACAAACACATCTGAGCTTTAGCCCAAGGTTTGGTAAATAG